GCTTCCTCCACTCCCCTCCCCAGAGCGGGGAGAGCCCAGGAGGTGGCCCAGACCCTGCCCCGCACTCCAGGCCTGGGGCGGGGACGCTGAGAGGCGCCGTTGACCGCTTTCCCCCTGGGGCGCCGGGCTCTGCCACCCCCGAGCCTCTGACCCATCAGCTTGGCTGCCCCCGGGGAGACCTGAGAGTGCGGCGCAGGCTTCTCTGCCCTGGCACGGGCCCCACTGCCAGGGCCGCAGCAGGCCAAGGAGGGGTGGCACCCTCATGGCTCTGGCTGCCTGCGCTCCTAGTGACTCTTACCCGGACCCGAGGTGCTGCCCGCCTGGGACTGATGGAGGGAGGGGCGGGCAGAGGACCCGCCGCACGTTCCTTAGCCAGGACCACTCACCCAGGGTCCGCCTTCCTGCCAGGAGCCCTGTCGCTCTGTCATCCGGTGCGACTCGCGTGGGGCTCCCCACCGCAGGTTTCAGAGACAAGTCAGGCTCCGAAGTGAACCCCTTTGTCCGGCGGTAAGAAATGGACGTTAAAAGAAAATCCTGCCTCCATTTTTTGTTTTTTTCTGAGCTGCTGCCAGAGGTGGGGCTCACTTGGGGGGGACCCAGGTGCCCTCAGTCGTCTGTTGCAACCAAGACCGGTCCTTGCACCCCGGGGGGCGGGGGGGCCGGCTCTGGGTCGCACACCAGGAGCTCAGGGTCCTTTCCCAGCAGCAGGTCCCGAGCGGGGAGCAGGGCGCCGCCTGGCTCAGAGACTGGCCTGCTCTGCCCGTGGGGGTTGTTACCAGCGAGCGGGGAGCAGCTTGAGTCCCGTCCCGCCCTCCCCTCCGTGTGGCAGGTCCAGGCTGTTGCTGGGGGCCACTCCCACGCGTTCATCCCCCTTTGAGGGAATATGGGGTTCACGTCCTCTGGTTGGGGTGCAGCTTCCCCTGGGAGGGCTTTGCTCAGCCTCCTGCCCCAGCATGTTTTCGGGTCCTGGGGGTGCCTCCATTCTGCCCTGCTCTACAGGGCCCCTCCCTCACCCCCCTCCCCTGCCGGCTCTTCATGCTGGAGGCAGACACGTCCCAGCCACCCAGCCAGCGTGTTTTGGTGCCGGGATGAGGGTGACGCAGGTGCAGCTGGCCAGCTACTGCCCCTTTGGACAGCACAGGGACTCAGAGCCACCCTGACCTGACTCATCAGCCCTGCCCTGCTCTCCAGGCTTCCAGGATGCTGGTCTAGGTGGCCGGGCTGGCTCAGGACAGCCACTGTCACCATCGCTGGGAGTCGGGGTTCCTGGCTCGGTGCAGGCCCCGCCTCTTGATGGGAGGAGCTGCCGGGTCACCTGGGGCCAGATACTGCCTTGCCCCTCCCGGTCCAGTCCAGCCTGAGTGGAGAAAGGCCAGGGATCCATGTGGGGACAGCCTGTGGCGGGGTGACCAGCAGAGGCCCCTCCGCTGCTCGGACCATGGGAACTGAAGACCCGTCTGGCTTCCTGGGCCCCTTTTCTTTGATTCCTGTTTTGAGGGCGGATCTGCCCCTGCTCTACGGGCAGACAGCGGCCCTGCAGTGTCAGCCCTGTTCCCCGTGGGCCCGCAGATGTGAGTGCGTCCTGCGCTGCGTGTCAGTGTGGGGAGAGAGCAGTTAGCGCCATTGTGTGGGGCACCTGTTGTCCCCTGAGGCACCACGGGTCACAGCTAGATTGCACCTTCCCCTGCCCCTTGCTGCCTTGTCCCCTGACCTAACCGTCCCCCTGAAACGTTGCTGTAGCTGTGACCCGAGGAGCCTGAGGGTCAGGGCAGGCGTTTCATGGAGACCCCTGGCCGCGTCGCCGGCGCGTGGGGTGCTCCGTGCCTGACGCGCGCTCTGCCCCGCAGACGCTGGACCTCGCCAACAACCAGCTGAGCGAGGTCCACGCGGAGCTGGCCGACTGCCCCAAGCTCAGGGAGCTCAACCTCCACGGGAACCAGCTGAAGGACAGGCGCCTGGAGAAGATGCTGGGCAGCTGCCAGACCAAGTCCATCCTGGAGTACCTGCGGGCGGGGGGCCGCGGCCGGGCCAAGGGCAGGGCCGACCCCGAGAAGGAAGAGAGCCGGCGCCAGAGGAGGGAGCGGAGGAAGAGGGAGGGCGAGGAGGAGGAGGTGGCCGAGGCCAGCCGGCTGCTGCTCCGCGTGCTGCACGTCTCAGAGAACCCGGCCCCGCTGACCATCACGGCCGGCCCCGAGGTCAAGGGCGTGCGGCCGTTCCTCCTGGGGGCTGTCGTGAGGGGCATGGACCTGCAGACGGGCAACGCACTCAAGCGCTTCCTCACGTCTCAGGTGGGTGCAGGCAGCCAGCGGGTGGGTGGGGTGAGGAGACACCACCTCTGAGTGCCTCAGTTTCCTCTCCTGGGAAATGGGAACGCAGCGGCCCTGCTGTGGATGTTGGTGAGCAGCGTGTGGACCAGGGGCAGCCGAGTGTGCTGGGCACGTCGAGGGCGCTTCGCACACACAGAGCTAGTGTGCCTGGCGGAGCCGGGGGGGCTCCCCCTGCTCCTTGCCCACAGCTCACAGTGAGCCGCGCTTCCGCGGGCGGCCTGGTTGCCCTGGGCCTGAGTGTTCCTCCAGTTCCCGAGTTGCTGGAGTTTCTGGTTCCGCAATGGATCACACTCAGTCCCACATAAGATGGTGTCGGAGTCAGCAGCTCTCACCACCACATGCCCACGCGAGTCGTGCTGTTTATTTAGGTTTTAGCGAGACAGACGTCCCGATGGGTTGTCTCCGTGCCCGTGCCCCTCTTTTAAACTAGCAGGCGCGTCTCTGACGTGAGGAGGCCCTGGGGTGGCCCGGGGACAGGCGGCTTCCGGAGGCTCCCACGGGTCAGGAGTCCTACCCTGGGAGGGCAGAGGCAGGGCCAGGCGTCCAGCGCGGAGCTCGCGTTCGGGGGAACGTAGTGGGGTCATGTTTGAGTCGCACTGCTGTGAGCTCAGCCAGGAGTGTGGTTCCCGTGGCTTCTCGGACGGACGCCTCCCACATTGTGCCCTAGCGTCAGGGACAAGGAAAAGGCCTGGTGACGGGAAGAAGCTGTTTGCCGGGGGCGGTTTCACCGGATGCGACTGGCGGGAGGTGGCGGTGCCGAGTGGGAGGGCGGCTCCCACCCTCGCACGCCTGGCTCTGAGCGACTGCGATCTCGCGTTGCAGACGAAGCTGCACGAGGACCTCTGCGAGAAGCGGACGGCGGCCACCATCGCGAC